GGCCGGGCCGGGCCCCCGGACGCCTACAGGGAAGGCGGTCGGGCGCCGCGAGCAGCGCGGACAGCGGCACCGGCGGCCGCGGGCCCAGGTGAGCGGCGTGGGGTGAGAGCCCCTCCCTGCAGCATCTCCCCACCTGCCCGAGCATCCCTTCCCCGCGCGCTGTGGGCATGGCCTGAGCCCCTAGGGTCTCCCGGGCTGGAGGAGGGGAGGGGGCCAGGGCGGAATGAGCCCCCACCCCTCAGCCCAGCCAGCCTCCCGCCGTGCGTGGGTCTTCCACCCAGGCCTTGTCCTTCCCGGGCCCCCTCCTTGCGAGCAGTGACTAGACTGCAGGGACAGAGAGGTGCGGCCTTCGAAGGGTTAAAGCATCGATTCCAACCCCCAGCCTCCAGCCTTTGCTGGGGCCGCAGGGCACCTCTCTCCGCCTCCCCCATCTCCTTCTCCTCCCTTCCTTTTCTCCATTCAGTCGCGTAATGGCCAGTGCCCTTCCGCGGGCTGACGCTCACCAAGTGCTAAGTGCCTCCCCATCCCCAAGTATCCTCCACTGAGGAAACAGTTGTGATCAGCATTTAACAGGGAGGGAAACTGAGGCAGAGAGGCCAAGTTAAAGATGGGTTAAAGACACAGCGGGAATAAAGCAGGGCTTGAACTCATGTCTGTCTGACTTGAGCACAGGCACTTTGATTTGCTAAGATACGTGACCAGAGGATGAATAATAATAGCAAGGACCATGTATCAAGGGCTTGCATGTACTAGATACCATGTTCCCTGCATTATTAACTGATTTCATCCACAAACATCCCTAGGAAATGGGCACTGTTATCATTACCATTTTACAGATGAACAAACTGAGGCCTAGAAAGAGGAAGTGACTGGCCAAGGTCACACAGGTGGTAAGTAGCCATGTGCCCACTTAGAGCTTTCCGTGGAAGGAGAGAATAACAGTGAATTTTGGAGTGTCCACCAAAAGGGACAGTCTCCACTACACTGACCAAGACCTGGACCCTGCTTTCCTACAATCTGGTGGGTTGTCAACTGTCTGAGTCTTTGAGAAGGACATTGATCTCCCCGCAGTTCCCTCCTTTCTTAGTTTTGGAATCAGGGGGCCGGGAGGGAGGAGGAAACGCATCTGATGTCTCTCACCCCCTTAAATTTCATATTTGCAATCTGGTGGTGTTCTGGATCAGACAATATGTCAGGTAGCTGTTACCACAATAATGCTATGTAAGGAACCACCCCCAAACTCAGTGTCTTAAAATGCTGAGCGTTTATTTAACCATCAAGTCTGAGGTCAGTGATTTAGGCTGGGCTCAGCTGGGCAGTTTTTGGGGTCTCGACTGGGCTTATTCACTTGTTGGATGGGGGGTTGGGAGCGGTGTTGACTGTTAGCTGCTGTAATTGGCCTTGGCTTTAGTGACTGGGGCCTTAGATAGGGACTATGCTGACAATGTTTTCCTCACCCCCACAATCAAGCACAAGCAAAAACATGGGAAGTCTCTTGAGTTTTAGGCTCAGAATTCACCAGCACTTCCACCTACTTCTGTTAGTCAAAGCTAGTCATGGGACCAAACCCAGAGTCAAGGTTGCAAGGGGACACTCTTCCAATTTTCCCATCCCTACAGTAGAAGAGCAGTCAAGAGTTACATGGCAAAGGATGCGGTTATAAGGGTGAAGAATTGGGGCTGTTTAATGCCATCATTTGATCACAGTACCTGCATTTGAACTCTGGCTACCCACTAGCTTTGTGACCTTGGGCCTCAGTTTCCTCCTTTATAGAACAGGCCAAATACTAGCCTATCTTTAGGGAATTAAATTTGTGGGAATTAAATAAGGTAACACATATAAAGTCCGGAGGGCAACACAAATGCTCAATAAATGTTATTTCTTGTTCTTACTGCATTGTGGAGTTCTCCTGCTAACGGTGTCGTCATTCTAACAATAATACAGGGAGTTTGCCCAGCCCCTGCCCTGTGCCAGGTGCTAAGCTTCACCAACAGCCCTGTGAAGTGGCCAGGATGAACATAACTGTCAGTAGTAGTCTGTGCACTTGAAAGACAGGGAAACTGAGGGTAAGGGAGTCGACAGGACTCACAGCCTGTCCACTGTTAGAAGCGGCACCTCTGAGCTCAGGCCCTGTTTCTAGCCTAATGTGCCTCTGCTTCTTCCCAGGCCTCACCTTCCCCAATGGCGCAGGTACCGGGGGAAGTAGACAACATGGAGGGCCTACCGGCCCCCAACAACAACAATCTTGCAACCCGCTGGGAGAGTCCTGATCGGGCCTGGGAACGTGAGCAGCCAGCAGCCTCCACTGCAGCCGCCTCCCTCTTTGAGTGCTCCCGGATCAAGGCTTTGGCAGGTACCTGGAGGAGCGTTGGGGTGGGAAGGAGAAAGGAGGAAGAAGGGAGGAGGCTGCTGGGGTGGTCTGTGTACCTCCGCGCTCCAGAACCTTGGTAGCCTGCAAGATGGGAAAGAGACTCACAGACACTTTGCAGGTGAATCTATAGACCAGCACCATCCAATGGAATGTTCCACAGTGACAGGAAAACATTCTCTCTCTGGGATGTCCAATATACTAACCACTAACCGCTAGTACTTGTGACTGTAAGCACTTGAAATGTGGCCAGTGCTTCTTGAGGGACCGAATTTTTAATTGCATTTCGTTTTAATTAATTTAACTTTAAATTTTTTTTTTTTAAGATTTTATTTATTTGTGAGAGAGAGAATGAGAGAGAGAGAGTACATGAGAGGGGGGAGGGTCAGAGGGAGAAGCAGGCTCCTCGCTGAGCAGGGAGCCCGATTCGCTTAACCAACTGAGCCACCCAGGCACCCTTAATTAATTTAACTTTAAATAGCCACATGTGGCTGGTGGATGCTGGATGGGGCAGTGCTGCCTTAGAACCTTAGAAATGCAGAGTTTCAGAAATGTGGGATTTTATAAGCATATTTTCTTAGAATTGCAAGATGCTGAAATATTGGATTTTTGGACCTTGGAATGTCATGCTCAGAGATTCTTCAAACTTGAGGCCTTTAGAAATGACACTCTTAGAACATAGAACTTTATAAGCACAGACCTTAGAAATTTTAATCTTTCATCCCCCCCCCCCCCACCAGGATCTTAGACCCTTAGAAACCTAAACTCTAATACACATAGATCCTTGGGGCCTTATAACCCTAAACCTTTAGAATTTCAGATTAGAATTGTAGATCCTGAGAATTTTGAGATAGAATGACCATACCTTCCAGCTTTTAGCACTGAAACCCTCAGTCTGGGGCCAACCAGGATGGTTGCTCACCCAACTTTGATGTTTTAGAACAACATAAGCAAAGACGAGAGAACTGTATAGTTACAGAATCTTAGAACCTTAGACCTTTGGAATTGTAGATCCTTGAACTTTAGGACTTCATGTTCAGAGGGCTGTAGAACTTCAGAAGCATTTGATCATCAGCATTAAAACTATGAGCAAAGGGGCGCCTGGGTGGCCCAGCTGGTTAAGCTTCTGACTCTTGATTTCAGTTCAGGTCATGATCTCAGGGTCGTGGGATCAAGCCCCGCCTCAGGCTTCTGCGCTCCGTGTGGAGTCCGCTTGGGATTGTCTCCCTCTACTCCTCCCCACCACCACCATTCGCACTCTCTCTCTCAAATAAATAAATTTTATGGAGCACCTGGGTGGCTCAATCGGTTAAGCGACTGCCTTCAGCTCAGATCATGATCCCAGGGTCCTGGGATCGAGCCCCGCAGTGGGCTCCCAGCTGAGCAGGGAGCCTGGGCTTCTCTCTAAGCTGCCACCACCCTCCTTGTGCTCTCTCTCTCTGACAAATAAATAAATAAAATCTTTAAAAATAAATAAATCTTAAAAAAAAAGCCAACCATGAGCAAAGAGCCTGAGAACCTTCAGAGACATGTAACTTCATAATCATTAACTTTAAGCCTTTAAAACATTAGACCCTTGGGCCTTTATTATCTCGGGAACGCGGAATGTTAGAAGCATAAACTATAGATTGTAGTAATCATGAAATCTTAAAACCCTAAGGTCAGAATCAGTTCCCTGAGAATCTCAAGAATTTTAGTAACTCAACATTTGACAATCATGGGATCTTTGCTACTAAGAGTCTTGGAACTTCATAATTGTAGGATGTTGAACAGTGGTGTCCAACCCAAGGGCCTCTGGGAAGCAGGTGACATGAAAAAAAGAGTAGACTGGGGACTATGGTCAGCTGGAAAGCAGCACCCTGGTCACCAGCTCCAGCCATGGGGAAATGTGGGCCCCAAATTGCTAGCAGAGATGTTTATCCTCAATTTCCCAATTAAAAAAAAAATCTGTATGTGCCACAAAGTATGAACCAATATTAACTCACAGACTGCCGGCTTCCTCTGATTGAGAAACTACAGCGGTATAAAAATGTACTCTTGGAAACTTAAAATCATACTTTCAGACTCTTCAAGCCTTAAAAACTTGGGATCACATCAACTTAGAATTCTAGAATTTATCCACAAAATATTTATTCAGTGCCCGCTCTGTGCCTGCCCTGTGCTGGACAATACGAGGGACATAATGGTGACTGAGCCAGCCCATGGGGCTCCCAGGCCACTGGGAGAGTTAGATCCAGCCAGAGAGTGATGACCCCGAGTGGTCAGGGCCCAGATGGTGAGGCACAGGCGGAGGGCTGGGATGGGGAAGCCCAGGGACTATAGAAGCTCAGATGAGGTACCTGATTCAATCCAGAGGGTCAGGGTGCTTCCTGGAGGAGGAGGTACCGAAGCTGCGCCCTGAAGGATGAATAATAGTGAACCCTGGGGTGGAGAGTGGAAGAAAAGACCTCCAAAAGTTGCGAGTGGCTAGATTGAAGTAGTGAGTAAATGACAATGCGAAAGGAGGCAGTGAGTTAGACCCTATAAGCCACCATGAAGGGTGGGAGGGCACTGGGGAGCTATGGTAAGATTTTAAGCAGAGGTGGGATGTGGTAACATGGGGATCAAGGACTCTTCGCATCTGAGAACCACTGATTCACAGAACATCAGTGCCGAATACCACAGACAGATAAACATCTAGTCCAGGGAAATGTAGGGATCCCCTATAAGAAAAAAAAATTCTCATACACTCCCTGTGTCTACTTAAATTATTGTATCTATAATTTTCCTAAGTGCAACAAACCCACGGTTCTGTTTATATCTCTTATGCCTACAGTTCTCTAAAACTAAAACACGTTATATTGGACTCCAGAACCAAAGTGCAAAACCAGTTAACGTTCAGCTTGGGGCGCCTGGGTGGTTCAGTTGGTTAAACGTCTGCCTTCAGCTCAGGTCATGATCCCAGGGTCCTGGGATCGAGCCCCACATCGGGCTCCATGCTCAGCGGGGAGTCTGCTTCTCTCTCTCCCCCGCCCCTTCAGCCCGCTCGTGCTCACTCTCTCTCAAATAAATAAATAAAATCTTAAAAAAAAAAAGATTCTGCTTAACAGTAACTTCAGGATGCTGTTTATACTGTTTAAATGATATTGCTGCTCGAAATCCTAACATCGTGACGTAGATCGCTAGGGTGCATTTTCTTTTGCATCCCTTTGCTTACTTCTCTCATGGTTTTTCTCTATTCAAACTATAAGGGCAAACCTTTGAGCAGAGTCCTGAGTAGCATGCTTTTGTATGAACACGTTTGGGAAAATTGTCTGGACCCCATGCTCCAGAGAGTTCCCTTAATCATGCTCCCCAGCTTATGGCTCGCTGTCCTCATCAGTCTATGTGAGGACCCTCTCCTCCTCTTTATCTATTCACTTATTCTCTTTGCTTTTTAACATTTTTTACAAAGCAATCTCTATGCCCAACGTGGGGCCTGAACGCAAAATCCTGAGATCAAAAATCTCGTGCTCTACCAACTGAGCCAGCCAGGCGCCCCTATTCATTTATTCTCTTTTATTCCCACATCTCACACCAATGCCTTCTCTCCTATGGGCCATTCTAATTGCTTGCTTGTTTGTTTGTTTGAAGAACAGGCTATTTGCTTATTCATTTTTATTTTTTGAGAGAGAGAGCGTGCGTGCATTTGCTCTAGTGGGGTTGGGGGGGCAGAGGGAGAGGGAGAGAGAATCCCAAGCTGGCTCCACACTCAACACAGAGACCATCATGGGGCTCGATCCCATCACCTTGTGATGAAGACCTGAGCTGAAATTAAGAGTTGGTCGCTTAATCAACTGAGCCACCCAGGCGACCCCCATTCTGATAGTTTTAATGCAAATTATTATCTTTGCATGCCGATGATTTTGCAAAATGTGCATTGTTAATTAGTGTGCATGTATACATATATTTTAACTGTTTATTAAAGTATTACATGCGCACAAAAAGGCAGATAAGTCGTGAATGTCCAGCATTTCCACAGGTGAACACCCTCTGGTAACCAATCCCCAGATAAGGAAAGAGAATAGGACCGCCCCAGAGAAGTCCCCCTCACGCTGCCTCTCTCACTACATCCCAAGAGTAAACACTATCCTAACTTCTAACAGCACGCACTGGTTTTGCTGGTGTTTGAACTTCATATAAATAGAATCCTGAAGCGTGTACCCCTTTGTGTCTGGCTTCATTCACTCAACACTGTGCTGATGAGATTCATCTGTGTCTACCTGTCCTTGTAGGATATTCCTTCTCGTTGCTGTATAGTATTCCACAGTGTGAATATGCCATAGTCTATCCATTCACCTGTTGATGAGCATTTGGGTTATACCTCGTTTAGGGCTATCACAAGCTAGACTATTGCAAACCCGTAATTCCTGGTATTTCAAACTATTACAAACTGTTGCTGCTTTAAACTTTCTAATACAGGTTTTTGGTGGGCATAAGCCCTCATTTCCACCCAGGAGTGAAAGCGTTGGGTCATAGGGTAGGTGTATATCTAACTTCACTGGAAACTGCCTGTTTGTGTCATTTTATATTCCCTCATATTTGTATGAGGGATTCAGTTCCTGTACATCCAACCCTTAGTATGGTCAGTCTTTTTAATTTTAGCCATTCTGATGGGTGTGCATTCTATTGTGGTTTTAAAAGGTTTTTTTTCTTAAGATTTTATTTATTTATTTGACAGAGAGAGATAGCGAGAGCAGGAACACAAGCAGGGGGAGTGGGAGAGAGAGAAGCAGGCTTCCTGCCAAGCAGGGAGCCCAACATGGGACTCGATTCCAGGACCCCGGGATCATGACCTGAGCCGAAGGCAGACGCTTAACGACTGAGCCACCCAGGCGCCCTCTATTGTGGTTTTAATTTACATTTTCCTGGTGACTAATAACAACTAATGAGATAGAGCACCTTTTCATATGTTTATTGACTATTTGGATAGCTTCCTGTGAAGTGCCCGTTCAAGTTCTTTACCT